CGCCAGCGAGGAAGGACTGCATCGTCGGCTTTATTGAGATCTTTACGATAAACACATTTTGTACGAAGACCTCATTATGTTAGATCAGCCTTCCCGCTCAACCAGCTACGCCGAGCGGGCTCGATTGACCCATATTCTTCGGTTTACTATATTGTGCACCAATTGCCGTCTCTAACTACCTGCCTTTATTACCCGTATAAAAGCCTCAGCTGCGTCGGTGTGAGATTCTCTGCAATGCACACTTTAGTGAACATTATGAGTAAAAGTAGAAACAGCATAATAACACGGAGAGAGTAAAAGATGACAAAAAAAAACCGGTGCTTTCTTCTGTTTTTTTTTTTTTTTTTTTTTTTCTTGTGCTGTTTGAACTTTTAACAATGAACCACACAGCCCAATCGTTTATGAACATCATGAAGGTATGGAATATTTCCGAACTTCATTATCTAAAAATACTTGGTAATTGGCGGGAGGGGGAATGTTTAGCGTGCAAGGAAAAATGGACATTCACCACAAACTTGTGAAACGTTATTGCCGTTGACGGTGGTGTAATGTCATTAATCTTTGAGTGTTTAGTGCGACGCAGATGGTGAGTTCAAAGCTGCGGTGCAAAACGTGAACATCTATCTCTCATGGAGCAAACAAGAAATTAGCTTTCCGTTTAGAAATCTGGTCATAGATAAGCGGAGGCCGTCAGCAAAAACAAGATCATCGTTCCCGTATATCTTAGACATAAGCATATAAATTAACAGTGCTTTTTGAAACAATTCAATACTAGACATTTCGTAAAATAAATTAAAAAAAACGAGTATATTATTGTATGAAGAAAAATGATGCAAACAGCGCTGGTTCAGAAACAAAAGCCGCAATAAATATACTAACGTGTTTCAGCCAAATAACCAAATAAAACCGGCACAAACGCAAGAAATTAGAAAACAAGCTATTTATATCTGATAATGTGCTTGCCGCTGTATCTTACGTGGCCACCAATATCAAACATTTCACGAGGCATTTGAATTGATTTTTTGTTTGATAAGTAGAGTGGCGTGTTTAAGAGTCCTCTGAAAGTGGAGTTCCCACCGACGCCATTTTCATTTTTGGTGTTTAACGTTTTATTTTTACAGCACTTAAAAAGCAGCTACCCAACTCGCGTTTCGCAGACCTTTTTCATTATTAGGGGGTACATTACAACCAAACTTTGCGGAAACAACCATTTTACATGATCAGAAAATTGGAATTTTGCAAATCTCGCACCAGATCGCAAATGCGTCTTTGGCTAATGAAGTTAGGATTATCATTTTTCAATTTATATTGTCATTGCTGTATGTCTGTTTTGCACAGAGTCATTTTCGGTGGCAATTTTAAAGTAGGTTTAAAAAGCAGTCGATTTTGTTTAAATATTGTTAAATTTTAAGCCTATCTTAAAATTAACATAAAGAAAAATGGGCTCGTAAGGGACGATATTACTGCCGCGACAAGATATAGGCTAAAGAGGTAATTCTAACACCATTAATAAAGGAAAAATCTGCAATTCGGTATGTGATCTCTAAATTTCTAATTGTCTCATTGCGGAAATTAGTTATGTCAATAAAGATTGGTTGTAATGAAACCACCAATACTAAGAAAGAACGCCTAAAAAAAGACAACTCCACAGCTGCTTGCTAAACACCGTAAAAAGCAAGAAGTAAATACCAAGATAAAGGTGGTGCCCGTAGGACCGCCGCTTAATATGTTAAGCGCGGTAGGGCTTTGCTAAGAATATCCCAACTTCAGTGGTATTATTATGATCGCTACAAACCTCGCCCTGTTTGTCTTATGATGTTAGTTACTATGGGATTCGTGCGTTCTATCGTAAAACTGAATTGCGGAAGCAGAGTTCATTCTTACATTGCTGAAATTCGGGGACTAAAGGAAATTGCGCGGCATAGTTACACAAAAAGTTATAATCCAGTGCGCTGACTATTTTTTTTCCAGACTTTTTAGCGTTCGACCCCTATAATCAATTCTCGTAAGATTATTGCGGAATTAGGCACATTGCTGCAACCAGTTATGGGTGGTTTATTACTCTCTGACCGCGAATTAAGAAAGAAACTAGCGACAATATGTGATTTCCGCCCCGGCATAAAAAAAAAATTGTATTGTTTTTAAGAATATAAAAACAGAAGGAAATATATAAGCCTTCTCAATTGACGAAATACCGCACACAAATAAGTAACAATGTAGAGAGGCGAGCAGTAATGCAGAAACACCAGGAAAAGCACCGCAAAATCGATATTTCAAAGATTCATATGGGTTTTTATTTTACCTCACTGCTCACGAAACGCTGCGGCCCATAAATGTTTCCTAGAGAACAGTAATGTGTGAAGAAAAAACGGCGCTTAAGATGATTGAAGAAATTGAACTTGAAAAAAAAAAAAAGCAATGTTTATACTTTGTTTTAGGTTGCCATATGTTTATATAATTAAAACTTCTGGCACTTGCCTACGTTCCCCTAAGTTTCTTAAATTAATTTTTGTTTACGTTAGGCCATCGGAAACACGTTGAAAAGAAATATATGCACGGAAATCTAACTCACTACATCAGGCGACCAGAATCAGCAGGCACCATATAGGTGTTGTGTACGTAAGACAGCATTGTTGACAGTTTTGTTTACATCATCTCAGCGGGTGGCTTAACACGTCTGCAGCGAATAGCTTACTTATACTAGTAAAAGAAGCCGGTTCAAAAAAAAAAAGTCGACTTCCTTTTATGGTATGCGAGACCCCTTGTGGCGAGCGCTGGCTCTTATTAGGAATGTACCAAGAGCAGGCCGCTTTAACTCAAAATATTCTGCTGAGAATTGCAGTGAAACAAGCGTTGATAAAACAAACTCGTTTACAGGCGACTTCTTGTGTGTCTTTACTAATGATACAATTAGCCCGAAAGACACCGCTTCGTTGCGTTAGGGCGGCCCTATATACACAACAAGCGATAAACTGCTATGGATGCGACACTCTAGCTGCTTAGCAGGAAATGGCCCTTTTTTATCTCGCAGTACGAGATCAAAGGAGACATTTTGCTTTTGATCCTCTGTTTATAGAAAAAGTCATTTCGTCCGCCCAGTCAGATTTCCGAACATCGAATGCGTTGGGAACGTATTCAAACTTTTGTGATGAACAAAATTAGCACTAGATTTAGAAAGCAGTTAGTAATTTGAGTAGAAGTTACTTGAAAAACGTAGTTAAATTAAGCTACTAACTACCCAAATAAATTTGTAATTGAAGGTTACCAAGTTACTCGGAAAAGTAGTTAAACCACAGTAGTTTGAGTACAGTATACTAGAACTACGTCCAAGTCTGCCTGTCCCCTATTGTCCGCTTTGTTTTTCGTAACGCAGACGATTGGGCTAGTTGGCTCAATTAAAAGTAAAAACAGCGCACGACACGAGCAGAGCAAAAGGAGACAGACAAACAGCGCTTTTTCTTGTATGTCTTGTTTTGGTCTGTCCGTGTTGTTGCGATGTTTGTGCGTTTTTTCATAGTGACGCTTCAAAACTCAACACCCCAGCCTCACGTTTTCGTTTCCGTTTTGTCCATTTACCCGTTCCCACAGCGCGCACCGCAATAGCGGATCGAAAAGTGCAGATTGCAAAGCCAAACATCTACAGCTTACGATAAATATAGCAAGCTGCAGCTCGGAACAGTTATCTGACCTTAGGGAGATAGTGGGGATCATTGAGGTGACGCTTTCGGCCGGTGGTGCAAATGTTGCCTGGTTTTTGATTGCAAGAGACATCTTCTAAACTAAGGATTCCGGTTATTTCAAATTTCTACCAGCCGTATCCGAGAAAATTTGGGAATGGGATAAAACACGCCACGCGCAACTACATGCTATACTAGGCTCCTGGAAATGGTTGAACGTGCAAATACAACCGACATCAAATCATAAAATATATCCTGATGCAGCAGACGAAATAGCAAAATATCTCAAAATGGCATAACCTAGTATAATCATCGTATACAGAAGCGTCAAAAGAACAGTAAAAGCTTCAGCAAAGCCTCCACTGCCATTATTAGCTGTTTCCGGGCATTCTGGTTATGTCAATACCTCCTCTTCGTTTCATATTATTCAATATACCTCGTCGTAGTATCGTTCGTAACCGCCAAACAAACGTAGACAGTTTAAATTTATTTAATCATTTATTCATTTATTTACTCTCAGTCCTTCTAGGACACCACAGGAAGAATCGTTATAAAAAGTTATCACATTACATAGTTTGAAATCTTCATAAGCAGTACATTTTCGATCCGACAGCAGTAAACTAAAATTCAAAACGTGCGCACAGAAAAAAAAAAGTTTCCTTAAATTACGATTTTGAACACTTAGAATACCACACAACGGCGCCAAACTAAGGCTTCTGTTTTACTGGAAGTTTAAAAAGAATCTTCAGAACGAACCCCCTTTAAAGAATCGGCGAACCAGGGCAAGCCCAATGGGCACGCAGGCACAGAACCGAGATTGCGAGCTGGAACGTTAATGCTTCGAAGGGTTTCGTTTCATTCTCACGACAAACATAAAGCGGGGGTCACACGGCTAATGCATCACACAAAAGAGCAGCCTGCAGAAACTGTCCGAGGCGTGTCCGCAGACATGATATCTGCTGCGGACACCATGCCTGTTGTGACAAAAAACCAAAGACGCCTTTCAAACCCATGCGTCCAGAGTTTGTTCTCCGACCATCAGTCAACCAGCGTTCAGAGTCAATACAGTACGTGTTTCCGCGTCGCCCGCACAACAAAGCCGAAGGCCAGAGGACGATCCCCTACGTGGGGTTCGTGTACAAAAAACTGCTTGTTTGATAGGGCAGACGATAGGCCCAGAACGTTTCTTTGCGCACCTATAGCACTCGCGGGCAAATTCCAGCCCCAACAGACGCCTACGATAAGTGAGTGCCGCGATAAGCAGATGCCTCCCTCCGCTGCGAAACACCCGGGCACACCTGGAGAGCAGGTAGTCCAGAGGAAATGTCCGCAGCCAAGGAGGGACAGACCGGCGGCTGTGACAACCCGCCCTCGGCCCTCGGGTCCACAGCCTTGTCTTACTCTGTGTGTCCCAGCCCGAAATATGAAATCAAAGGAATTTCGTGCGGCGAGACATGTCTCATGTACGTTTTCATCATCGCCAACGTCATCGTCTGGGTGAGCGTCGGTCGCGTTTTCTTGTCGATGCCTTTACCTAGAGATCCCGTGGGGTCGATCCCCACCCCTGCCCGTTTCGATCTAGATGAGCATTGCACCGGCCTGCGGTTGCGTATCACTATGTAATGCGTGATGGCGTGATGCATCCAAGGCTTGAGCAGTCGTATTGCACCGGCAAATTTCTTATCAACACTGGGTAACATTGCCGTAATGCTCTGGCAAGCGAATCGCCCGCTGTCTAAACAACTAACGACTAATTTGTTACTTGTTTTCGTCGATGCCTTGCGTTTGTTAAAAGGCGCTGCCTGTAGGTAGCGAGCCTCTGCTCCTCTAGTCACTGACAAGTTAAGAGGGCGTGACTTGTTGTGTTGAGGCTTCCTGCCTTGGGATTGGTTCTTCGGCGTTCTTATCTACTGATGCTGCTCTCTCATTCGCTGCGGAGCAACATGCTCGAGGCTCGCCGCACCCTGCGTTGCTGTCTGTTACTCTAGGCAGTCCACCACGGGCCTCTGTGGCCTTGCCGGTTTCAATTTGAGCCCGTGAGACCCACGCCGTAGTCCCAACAGCCGAGAACGAAAACTCTCAGAAGCTTCAACAATTTAGACCACAGAATTCCATCTGTGCCAAAAGCGAGTCAAGCAAGGCTCGAGTTTAATGAAGCAGCTCAGTCAGTGGACGTGCTGTACTGACCAAAATGTCCTCGTGTACTGGTGTAATAATGCGACAAATTTGAAGATGAATGACGTTGTTTTCGGCCATAAACGTTCGACCGCGACGCATATTATTACGGTGCGGATAGCATAGATAAAGAAAGGTGTAATTGCATGCATGGTCGAAATGAAAATGGAAACGCCCAGAGCGTGTTAAGCTTCCGGCTACTGCGGCCAACCTGAGACAGCGACCCGTTATCTTGTTGCCTGTGTGGGGAAGTAACACTTGGAATCCTCTTGGTGTGCACGGTAGCATATCAGTAGGCCCCTACCGAGAACGTTTAAGCACTGTCTACGCATGTCTGCGAGGAGACGACCGACATCTGACTGCTGTCAAATTTTCCGGTGATGCCACACTGATATTGGTATTCGGTCAATTTGGCGGAAGACGGATGTCTCTTTTCGCTTGACGAGCCTGGTTGTATACATCAACACGATGTGTACAAACGAGGCAGCGTAGGCGTGCACCCAGTGTGTGGGCACTGCTCGTGCTCACAGAAATCAGTTCTGCCTTAGGTGAAGCGTCTGCGCATGCGCAGTGCCCACAGCAGCGCCTCCGCACCAACTTTACGTCAGAGGGTGGAGTATACAAAGCTTTGCTGCCTTACGGCTGGCTAGCAGGTCGTCCAATCAGCCAAAACAAGTCGAGTTCAAATTTCTTTAGTAAATTTGACAAAATCTTTAGCCACTCAAGATTCTTGCTTCGTGGTTTGTTCTTCGACGTCCTTCAATATCGATATGATTCTCTGTGGGGCGGTAAGAAGTTCCCCGTCATGTCCTGCCCTTCGTAGGCTGTCAGTGCTTCTAAAAAATCTTTTCTGGACGTTAAACAAAAAGCCAGTGTATTTACTTTGTCCCTGTGTTCCTGGGACAGCCAATCGCTGCAGTCTGCAGAGGTAACATGGTTTAGGCCTGAAACAAAAAGTCTGCGGTGTGACAGTGAGTATACCGGAATCGCTTGATGCGTCATGCCCAGAGTCATACCGCAAACTGCATCGCAATCCCCCACCCAGGTGTCCTACGGGAAATTTGTAGGCCTACTAAATATCTTGGAGTAAATGCGTCGTATTGATGTTGACGCACAACGCTGCAACCTTGCGGTCTATGTCGAGTTGCACTTCTAGGGTCTGTATTTTGCTCGACTCTTCACATTTTGAAACCTACTCGAAGGATGGAGGTAGGAAACTTCTTGAGGCGACATGACGCCACCAGAGGCAAAGCCAGGACTGTAGAGGGACACGGCCTCAACGATGACCAAAACCACAGTTTTTTGATCACCCCCGGTCAGGTGGCGTCACAAAGCCTACAGAAGCTTCCTACCTCCATGCTTTGAAGTTATCTCTAAACAAATACTACGGTGCCTGGAGCGAGCGTCTCCCTCTGTTGTGGGTTTAGCATCCCATACCAACCATACATTGAAAGGGGTCCCGAAGGGGCAACAAATGGCGTCACAGAAGACGGAGCGTCATGCCGTCGGATGTCGCGATCCTGGTGGTTGGTCGTAAGGATTTCGGCAAAATGCACGGCCAAACGTGAATGTGGCTGTTGTCACAGCGTCCCAACTTCTGGCTGTCGGAGCTTCCGTGGACTGCCACACTGGAGAACGAACTGCAGCGGAACAGGCGTCTGCCACGTTCACTACAGCTGTTGGGACGCCAACAGGATCGCGAGCGTGACACTTCTACGCAGACTTGTACGTAACGAGTTACAAGTAACTGATTACTTGTAAACGAATACATTTTATTGTAACTTTTTTGACGCTTGAGTTACTTTTTTCTGCGGTAATGTTCTCGTTAGTTCAATTACTATTATTCTTTAATCAATTACAAGTAATCAGTTATATGTTTCCGAAAGTACAAAAATTATTTGGTTTAGTTGTTTTACGTAAAAAAGCGCTCTGCCATACGTCACACGTCCACGTTGCACCAATGTTGGAAACTTTTTTTTACCCTTAAACAACTAAAATATACCAAGATACCAGAAGGATTAGAGTGCGCTCAGCGACGTCTTGTGTGTCGAGCTCTCGAGAGTGCCTCGTTTCCTGTGTAGGGGATGTTAGGATCCCGGTTTGCCACGGCCTAGACGGTCGTGTTCTGCACTGATCTCATCTCGGCATGACAAAGAACCCTCCTCCCCCTCACCTGCGCCCCCCCCCCCTCCCCCTCCTCCCGATTTTCCATCTTGCAGAATTAAGAAGCGCGTGCGTGTATAGACGTGCTAAGAACAGAAGGTTATCTTATCTATGATTTCTACTAGTCTAGCGGGGGATTCGTCGTTTGGTTTTTGAAGCGAACGAACGTATCGATATGAGCTCGGTCGGAGCGTTAACAACGGCTACTGATAGCCGCGGATCTGCTGTATCATTGAACGAAGGCTAAAGGATCGTTCTGCCTCCCCTGCCAACGGGTGTTCACGCCTTCAATTCAGTCTTCCTACACGCGGACATAACAGCTCGGCCTTAACGCATCCAGGATTTTAAAAAAGGACTCGAGAAAGTCGGGGTGCTAGGTGAAATCGCCGCGTATGGTTCACACCAAATGAACCACGTGTGGATGGTGACCCTAAAGACGTCGTTGACCAAGCAAAAGCTGTTGAGCGCCGCAACCTATGAAATCGAAGGAAAGCGCTGCGTCGTCATCGACCCGGAGATATCTGAGGTGAGGCTGAAGCTGCACTGGTTGCCCTTCCACCTGCCTGACGACGCTGTGAAAAAGAACCTGGAACCGTACGGAAAGGGGGAGGACGTCGGCAGAGAAGCCTGGCGCATCGAGGGTTTCGAGGGCGTCTAGTCGACAGAAAGAGTCGTTAGGCTAACCCTAAAGGCAGGCGTCACGTTCGAGAAGCTGCCGCACCAACTCCGGCTCCCAGGATGTACGGCTCTGGTGCTGGCCCCGGATAGAGCCCCGCTCTGCCTTAGGTGCCGTCGAACTGGCCATATCCGTAGAGTGCCCTGTGCCACGATGCGACAGCTGCCGGCGCCTCGACCACCTACGGGACGACTGCAGCAAGAAATACGCAGACGTGACCGACAACGGCACTGCAGACGACACCTCAGAGCTCATCATGGAACAAGATGAAGCTGAGGAGGCGGCAGGGGGAAAATGGAGGGCGGTCAACCTCAGGGGCGGGCTGAGACCCTCGCAGACGCCCCACCAACCGAGGTCTCGGCCACGGTGGGGCTCCAGGAGGCGACACAGACGTCCCCAAGCCAGGGGACAACGACGTCGCACGCGGCCCGGCCCTTCAGGAAAATGACTGTGAGCACGACTACGCCCTCCGCAAGCCGACCCTGGCTGCCAGCCAAGGGCAAGACGACCCGGAGGACGGCGAGATGGACGCTATGAGTGGTTCTGCCAAGCGTCCCCTGGAACCAACACCAACCCAGGACCCGGGTCCACCTGGAAACCTGCAGGAGTCGGCGCTCCACAGGTGGCAGACGGGGACATTCAAGAAAGGCCGGCGCTATGCCGCCACTCAGGGACCACAGGAGGGCCACGCGTCAAAGATCCCACAGTAAAGAAACTGTAGCCACTGAACCTGAGCCATACTGTTTAGGTGGATTTCAAGTAAGAGTTGTATTTTCGTCATCATATAGCGATTTGACTTGGCGGTTTTTTGTGTTGTAGCGTTGCCGTCTGTCTGTAGTGTCACCGCAATGGCTCTTAGATTCGCCACTTTAAACGTCCGAGGGTTATCCTCGTCGGAAAGCAATACCAGCTAAACGACTAGTAGAGGACGAGCAACCGGACGTTTTTGCGGCACAAGAAACCAAAATGCAGACAGACGATAACATCGAGAGAGCGCTCAATCTTTATCTTAGGAGATGCGAAATAGCTGTAAGTCATGCTGTGGGGCGGTCAGGGGGGTGTTTTCTCTTTTTAAAGAAGGCCGTGAATTTTGAAAGTGTGCGAATCAAATTTGGGAGTTTTACGTGCCAAACCAACGACGGGCATCTGGCACACCCCACCGGAGGACTGGGGATTAATTTTGACCACTAGGGGATCTTTTGACGTGCAACCGAAAGCTCGGTTACACGGCGCCTTCATCACAATAAGCCTCCGTCAGATTGCGGGCACCTCGGCCGGGATTCGAACCCGCCACATGGGGATCCGTACGCTGGCGCTCTCGCCTCAGAGCCGCCGATGCGGCTTGAAAGTGTGCAGGTAGTTATAGAGGCATGTGGTCGTTTCATTTCTTGTGATTTTGTGCTGTCAGGAGTGCAGTGACGAGTCATTTCCGTCTATGTACCCAACAACGCGAGAGATAGGGAATTTTTTTTTTCAGTTTTTG